GAGCCGTTGACCACTACCCTCTGGATGCAACCATCTAACCAATTCCTCACCCACCGGACAGTCCACCCATCAAATCCATACCTCTCCAGTTTAGAGAGAAGGGTGTTGTGGGGAACCGTGTCAAAGGCCTTACAGAGGTCCAGATAGACGACAGCTGTAGCCCTTCCCGTGTCCACTGATGTAGTCACTCTGTCATCAAAATATATTTTTATACATTAAATACATCAAAATGTATTTTTACCATGCATGAGAGCAACATTTTAGGATATACCTTGTGCTAGTTACAATGTAATCATGAAACAACCCAGCTTTTTCCAAAGTTTAAACTCTCATGAATTTTTGGCTGCTTAAATGCCTGTTTCATTTGGAAATGGAGAGAAAAGCCAATTCTTAGAATCACAGAAACAGCAGCATTTGAATCCCTTAGGCAGAGAAACAACAGCAGAAAAGATTCAAAAACTAAACCCCAAACCTCTTTCATGTTCTCTTCTTGGAAGTATGCAGAAAAGGCTCATCCCAATGTATTTGACTGTAACTTTTCATTCTTTCACTGGTGATAATTTTACCAAATATCTGTGCCCAGCCCAACACTTTCTAATACCTGACAGGGCTGCAAAGCAGCCTCTGTTCAGTATGGGACTGATGCAGAAATACGTTCTTCTTTCTGAATAAGACTGTGACAAACCCAAGCACTAGGAGAGTGGCAGATGTTAATGCAAATCAGGTCTCTGTTTCTTGCACTGATGTGGAAAATCCAGTGCGTCCTTGCCAGCCTGAACCAGCAGCATTGCATGGAGAGTTGGCATTGCCACAGGGAGTTAGTCATGAATGGCTCTACCTAGCTCAGTGGGGAAGGACTAAGTAAAATAAAGCTCTGCAATGGAGCATGCAGATTTCTGAGCTGCTCCTCTTCGTGGTAGTGGCAGAATGGAACGCAAGGAATTTCTACTTAGCCTTTTTCTCCAGTGCTGTTTCTGGTTTTGAAGCAGAAAGGGAGTTTAATACAGCCAGCTCCTATTTTCTGTGTGTGTGAACTGTCATGGCAGAACATGGCTTCTTCTCTTACACTAGGTAGAGTCCACAGCTTTCTCTGCTTAGGCTGGTATTATGAGCTGTTTGTCTTACTCTGGGCAGCACAGCCTGAGTGCTTCCCTCCACCACCACCACTTTTTGTTCTGCCTCCCTAGAGGCAGCAAGCTTCTCCTTTGTCTTCCTCACCTTACTTATTAACACCACCTTAGATTTCAAGCTCCCTAGGAGTACTGCTGTAGGTGGAACAGGTATGAATGGGCAACTCTAGTGAAGGACTCAGCAGGGGATAGAAAGTGTTTTCCCAGTTCTCTTCCTGTTCTCCTCCAATCTCTTCCCTGATTTTTGTATGTGGTTCTTGCACAGATACATCATCTCCACAGAGCCATATCACTAACAATGTCCCATTCATTAACAGACTTGCTATTAGAGAGAGGTTCTCAGCTTGGGGTCATCAGGCTCTCTTGTCCCTGCTGAGCAATGCCAGACCTGCCATGCTCCATGCGGCCACAATCAAGTTAGGCTGGTGAGTCAGTTTGTCCATCTCTTCAGTAATTCTGGCTCTGCTGCTGAACATGCTCACCGAGAACAGGTACTCTAAAGGCACTGACCTGTCTGCCCTTTCCTGTCCTGAAAGGCTTCCACAAAAGGAACCCATAAAGGTTATATTCAGTGATGAATAGTTGGGGCCCAAGTATTAAGGAAAAGGGCGAGCCTCCAAGTTGCTTCCAGCACCAGGAACAGGCCTGGTGGAGGCAGCACCACAGACTGCTGGGACCTGATCAGAATCCTCAACTAGATGGGAGGGTAAAATCCTGTTCCAAGAAGGAGCAAGTATTTCCCTTTCTCGGGAACAGGCTGCTGTGAAGCCTGAAATCCTTCTAGTACACAGGACATTCAGCCACGCCTAAGGCCCTTGGACTTCAGGAGTTTCTGCGCTCCTGGATGGTGATGGCTTTCATGCCACTCGCCTGATGGCCTGAAAGGCCGCCTTCAGGCAGTAGGTTCACCCCTTTGGTTTTGTGCAATCATTGTCTGCTGTTCCATTGCTGTCTGAAGACTCAAATGTATTTTTTCCTCTTTTTTCACATTTTAAAATGTTACCTTTTTTTTAACTTGACTCATATGACCCAGTGCATGTTAAAGAAATATTGCAGCGCATCAACTGTTTATTAAGTAATCTTTTTTCATGTTTTTTGTTTTAAAAAGAATATTTTCTGTATCCCACTCTAGCATGCACCTATAGCAATCCCCCTTTTTATCGTGTATGGGAGTAGGTTGTCCAGCGAATGCACTTTCAGCACTGTGGCCTATGTTTGTATTGCTTTGGAGAGGCAAATAACACAAGATTGCTGGAAAACACTATTCTGTTGATCCTTTATTCAGATGTATAGAGCAGTCCAGGAAGGAAGAATATTTTTGCATCAACTTTTCAGCTGACTTAGCAATAAAGATTTTTACTTTCATCTAACTACATATTCTGATTCTGTTACTGTGCTGGAGAGAATTTGTGCAATATCTCAGTCAAACATAGCTGTGGCTAGCAGTAGCTGTGCTGTAGGGTCTCCTTCACTGGGCTCTGTGTGCTACTTCACTCATCAGCCTTCCGTACAAAAGCTACTTGCAGAACACTGTGAGGGTAGAATTCATAGTACCAATTATTAGGCAGCTTTCTGTATCCTGCCAGAGGAATCCTGCCCTGTGAACTTGCTCTAAATAGTACTGTACAGCTCTCTAGAAGTAGCTGCAGCAAGCAGGAAATACAGAATCATTAAAAGAAATGGGACCACAGTGGACTGTCTACATAAATCCCTGCACTGAAACACTCAATGCATCTAGCTACTGAAAGGGAGCAGAAATCAAACAAACCCCAGAGCATCTGGTGTGTTCCTATTTAGTATTTGTTTTACTTTTGTATCTCTAGTTCCAACAATGTTCCATGGTTTTGGTAATTGTGAGGATTTAGTCACTGGTGCCAGTGAAACTGGAGATATATCCAAGACAAAGCATGTTTCTGGCATGTTTCGTTTGGTGTTTGGGTTTTGGGTTTTTTTTAATACGGGCAGAACTGGTCTGTGAGACCAGTGGTGGTTCCATCTTCAGATGGACAATGCACATAGTGGGCACTGCTCTGAAGTGACATTTCATTCTGAGGCACGATTTTGTGATTCTAGTGCTACTTTTCTTTTCCCTGTTACTTTTTTTTAGAACTTTTATAGGAAATTTAAATTTCACCTTTCTTTTAATAAATAATGCAAGAGCAGCAGCTCATTTCCCCAACTTGTACATTAAAAATATATTTTGAAAACAATATACTTCTATCTGAAACCACCTGTTTGAGCTCTTAAAGCTTTTGTCTGATTATCTCAACTCAGGGCATCTTTTTAAGCAAAACTGTTGTATACAAGTTATATAAAAGACCGTTCCATACAAAAATGTGCCCTCTCCAGGAGAGTTTGAAAAAGCATTGTGTCACAAATTAGGCTGAGTTGTATTCATCATTTTGCAAGTTTCTTTCAGGATTCTCTGATGGCTCTATAAATGCCACGTTCAAACTGCCCTGTTAGTTCCAGGAGACCTACAAGAAAGCAATAATCAGCTGCGACAACCACGGGCCTCGATCGCTCATTTTTAAGAGCTCTGTTCTCAGTGAACAGTCACGTGCCCTTTGTAAAGACAGTTTCAGCTACAGAAAGCTGTTCATCAGCAGAAGTATGTAGTAGCAGTACTTCAATGAAGTCTTGCTAGGAGGAGAACAAGACACCCGACAGAAGGGATGGAAAGGCTACCTGTGAAGCAGGCAGCTTGTCGTCAACTACACAAGGACAGTCATTCTCCAAGAGACAGCCACCACATGAAGACAATGCATCGGACTACCTTTGTGTCCACTAATAATTCAATAATGCAAATTCAGGTTAGGAATAGCTTGACTCTACCATATTTAGAGCTATACTCTCTCAGTGTGTATTCTGCTGCAGCATTAAGG